ATGTAGTAGTGGACCGACTTTCAAAGTATGATCATTTTGTTCCCCTTAAATCTGATTACACTAGCATTCAAGTTGTTGATGCTTTCATGAAATACATGGCCAAACTACATGGTATTCCCAAGACAATAATCTCTGATAGAGATAAAACCTTCACTAGTCAGTTCTAGAGACAACGATTCAAACTAAGTGGGACCACATTGGCAATGAGCATTGCTTATCATAATCCAAAAGCTTGGACCAAATTTTTACCTTGGGTTGTATTTTGGTACAATACATCATTTCATATCAGCACTAGCATGACTCTGTTTCATGTTGTGTATGGGCACGATCCTCCTTGACTTGAGAAATATGTCTTGGATAAAATTGATCTTGTGGAGCTTCGAGACATTTTACAACAATGAGACCTTATTTTAACTCAATTGAAGCAAAATTTATTTAAAGCACAGTAGGTCATGAAGAAGAATGCAGATAAAAAAGGAGACATGTGGAGTTTAACGAAGGTGACATGGTTTTGGTGAAACTAGAACCATATAGGTAGAATTTAGTTGATTTGCGCAAAAATCAGAAGTTAGGTGTGAAGTATTTTGGCCTTTTTCTAATAGTGAAGAAAATGGGTTTTGTTGCTTCCTACTCATGGCAAAATACATCCCATTTTTCATTGTTCTCAGTTGAAACCATGTTTTGGTGATCATATCAAACCATATATTCCTTTGACCATGATGACTAATGAAATTGGTCCAATTTTGCAACCTATGCAAATTTTGCAAAGCTGAGTGATTCTTAAAGGGGGTAGTAGATCCAACAGGTGTTAATTCAGTGAGAAGGCCTTGACGTGATGCAGGCAACATGGGAAGATTGGAGTTAATTCCGTGAGACATATGCTCCCAGTGGGAAGGCCTTGACGCGATGTGGTGCTCCCAGTGGGAAGGCCTTGACGCGATTGGGTGCTCCTAGTGGGACTTCTCACGAATGAGTTTGTTGATCTTGTCATTGAGGTTGTAAAGACAATGCTCCCCGAGGCGCTCGTTCTGGATCTCCACCACTTTGAGCCCAATCTTGCGTGTGATTTGCTAGTGTCACCAGTCGGTTTCTTCTCCTCCGCCTTCATCACGATGAAGCAGTTCAGTATCAACTATGCCTTCTCCTCGTCGCGAGCCATTTTCTTTAGGAATGGAATATAAGATCAATTCTTTTTATGTTCGATCTTAAAATTTGTATCAAATATATCTTTTAAGATCGGTTAAAATTTAACCGATCTTAAAAATAGTCACATTATTTACAAAATTGCCGCTGTGACATTTTTACGATCGATTATCTCTTAACTGATCTTAAAACTCTGATTTTAAAAATTAATTTTTACACTAGCGATATGATTTTTTATTACAACTTGCACCATAATAAGAAGTCATTGGAGTTGATTTAATGATGGGGATTTGGATAGTTTGGATGAGGTTTTATGTTCTAGTTTCAGCTTTGTTATTATATTATAAGTAAAAATATCTAATGAGTATATAATTCAAAATGAGTTTGGACCATAAAGGTTTAGGTATTTGGTGACTCTTGTCATGAAATTTGCTAGTCCAATCAAAGAAAAATCAGATCAAGTGGCACTAAAGACGCTAGTTTGACTAGCGAATTGACTTGTCAATGATCGAAACAACTCTATATGAGTAATATATTTCGTAAGTCTTATTTTGCTATTTAGTTTCTAAAAATGCTCCTTTTTGCAATCAATCTATATTTGAAGTTTGAAGTCCAGTTAAGTAGTACTTAACTCAAAATGTGAGAAGGTAACAATGATGTCTATGACGTTCACCATAGTTAAAATGAAGTGGACATCGCAATTTAACAAATTAATGACTCAGTCTTGCACGTTAAAATACAATTGTTTTATATAAGAAAATAATGCTTTCGTATTATCTCATTTTATTATCTAAGGAAAGTTTGCTGTATTCAAGAAATCGAAGAGAGGGTCAATTATTACTTAAGTTTTTGGCCCCAATCAGATTTTCATTATTTACCTTAGTTCTCAATTGATATTTGATGATTGAGAAGTTACTAAGAATGAACTACGTACTATGCTTTTAATCAAAATCCTAAATGATGCAACCTCTTTACCAAGAAAAAACCCAAGAAAGCGTGGAAAGATAGTATGAGAGGTTTATATAAAGATAGAAAGAATGATTTATCTTAGTTCGTCGGTGTAGTGATCTACATTTATAACATGTCTAGTTTGATGGTAGTAACATGATATTTTACGTCAAATTGAAAGTAAGTATTTTAAACTTATATTTTTGGAGAGAATTGACGTAAAAATATATTGTGAAGCAGATTCCCAATGCTAAAACAAACACATACTTAATCTTCAGCTAAATCATGTAAGATGTTTCTACCACCGATCATAATTTTACAAATCACACACAAAAAAAAAACATTGTTAGGGACGGAACCAGAAAAATGTTATAGGGGATAAAAAATTATCGCATGATGAGTAAAATCAACGATGACTAATTTTTACTATTAATAATTTTTAAAAATTTAATCTAACAAAAAAAAAATATTATATATATCATGAAAGTAAATATAATTACTTTTGATGAAAAAAATTACAAACAAAATAACATTCCCTTTCAATCATCAAGGTTATGGATATTCTTATATTCTTTATTTGATATAAAACTCTCCCACAATTTCTTTTGTGGTGAATGACTTTGCAATATCATTTTCAATATAAATAGTCAAAGTATATATAAGAAAACCATCTTTCATTTTATTATGAAGTTTTATTTTCACAAGTTTCATGAATGAAAAAACATATTCTATGAAAGCAATTAAAATTAGAAGAGTCAATATAAGACTAATTCTCTTTTATCTTCATGGTTTTATAAATGCTTAAGTTTGATAATGGAATGAAGCAAAAAATTTTAATTCTAAACAAGTTATTATATGTATTGATAATTCTCTTTGTGTTGATTTTTCTTTTTTGGATGCTATGTTGACTCAAATGTACTATATCAATCTACATATATTTACAAAAGAGGAAATAAAGAACACTCACATATTATTAGTATATCTTTATTTTATTTTATTTTTTTTTCTTCGAATGTTTGAATAACTTCATTAAGAGCACAAAAAATTCTATAAACATTAAACTTTTGAACACCTATAAGACATAAATGCTTGTGGGAGGTGTTGGACATTAGACACAGACACAGACAATCCTATTTTACTAAGTGTTACATTTATCTTATATTTGCACATTTGTAAAAAATAGTTATTTATAAAATCATTTTTTTTCCATTCTTCCTACATCTTTAGACACATTCTTCCTAAAATGACTTAAATAAATATTAGTCTCTCAATATCATTATTTTCTTATCATCAAAACTGTTGTTTCAGACATATGAAATCATCTTTGATTCAACACATTATGCAGTATACACAACCATGCTTCCTAGAAATCACATTCTCCTCAAAATCAATTTCACAAAAAAATACATACAATTGGCATCTTGATAACTCACTATTGTTACTCCTTCTCAATCAATTTCTCATTTTATAAAAAAATCATTTATATTTTTTTTAAAAAAATTTCTCAATCAATTTCTAATTTTATAAATCTTATATTATATTTATCATGATTTAATAAGAATTTCATTTTTTTCTCTAGCTAAATTTTTTTTCCAAACATTTAAAGCTATAGTATTTTTTTTTATATTTATCTTTACATAATATATTTTATTTTTTATTTGATTCAATCCATTTTGTTGTTATTTCTAAATTAAATTTCAATAATAATTTTTTTAAATATTTTTAATAGTAAAGGTAATTTTATATCATAATTTGTTAATTATTTATTATAAATTTAATATATAAATTATATATTTAATTATAAATTTTAATTATATAATATAATTTATATATTAGAATATATTTATTTATACATAAAAATAAGGAAGAGTAAATAAAATATTATTTCATATAATTTTGAAGACACTAATAAAAAAATGTTTAAATATAATTTTCATTGTTATAATTTACCATTTTTTCACTTTTGGTCTTGTAAATTTTGTTGATGTTTCATCTCCTATCCTTTTATAATGTTTAAAAAATAATCCTTACCATCAATTGCTATTAAAAAAACATAACGTGACAAATGAAATACATATTATATTTATTATATTCTACTTTACCATTGTCATGTTGATAAATTAATTTTAATTTTTTTAGACAATTTTAAAATGTATTTCACTACATCCAAACCCTCACCCTCATGATCCCACTTCGACTCTTTGATCCAAATTCGACATTGGAAACCCCAATCCTATCAACAAGGAGAAACTTCTCATAATCCATGATCTCGACAACGACATCAAGGTCATCATCAACTACCATTGCCTTTGTGAGGTTGTCACCAATCGCTACTTTACTATGGGGGAGTTCGACCTCACGCTCGACTACTCCCCCATCATGTAAGTGTTCGTGTATCATAAGAGCATTCACCATGTTGTTGGTGTCACTACCAATGTCACCTCCTTCAATGTCAAGAAAAATTGTGTCGATTGGTTCAGGACTATAAAAATTGTCGACACCTATTGCGACAATTGCAACAACAACGAGCAAACATCTTATCAAAGAAGGGAGGTTGATGATTTAGCTCCACCACCGATAATAGTTAAGACGCGAGGTTCCGCAGTCCGAAAACATGTGCATGAAGAATGTAAAAAGTGATAACAATGAAATATATTTTAACATTATTTTAAAAAAATTAAAATTAATTTACTTATGTGATTGAGGTGAAATATAATAATTATTTCATTATTTTTAAAATAAAAATTGATGACAAAAATTATTTTTAAAATATTATAAAAGATTAAGGTTGAAATAATAACAATTTTTTCATATAGACTTAAAAATAAAAAAATGAGTAAATTACACTAGCGAAAGTTAAATCTAAGCTTAAAAAAAAAAAAAAAAACTTTGAATACTAGTTTGCCGTTTGCGTACTTGCGTATTGGTGGGACGTCGTCGTATGGTGGCACTTCGCACTCGCGCTCTCGAGTTTCAACCCACCGCAAGCACCCTCAATCGAATCGAATCGAACATACATTCCAATTTCCAATTAGAAAGAAGAAACAAAATCCATTTCCTAATAGCCATGGTTTAGCTTCAAACATGGCATCGCTGAACCCTAACCAAAGTTTCTCCCTCTAAGATCTCGATCCTTTTCCGATTCCGATCCGATCCAATGGCAGGGGCAGTCTCTGCTCTCTTCCTTCTCGACATCAAAGGCCGCGTCCTCATTTGGCGCGACTACCGCGGCGATGTCTCCGCCGTCGAAGCCGAACGCTTCTTCACCAAACTCATCGAGAAAGAGGTTCCTTTCTTGTTTAATTTATTATTTCTTTCTTTGTACAAAGTAACGCCTCAATTATCTGCACTTTGCAATGCTTAATTGATAATTGATTGTGTTTTGGGAAGATGAGTAGTGAAGTTTGTTTCGAAATTGTTGCAGGGGGATCCGGAGTCTCAAGATCCGGTTGTATATGATAATGGTGTGACCTACTTGTTTATACAGCATAGCAATGTTTTCATCATGACGGCTACCAGGCAAAACTGCAATGCAGCTAGCCTCCTTTTCTTCCTACACCGTACTGTTGATGTAAGCGTTATTGAATTCAAAACTTGGTTTGCTTTGGCGTAGTAGTTACTATTGCGGGGATTATTGATCGGAATGAAATGGTTTGTGTCTTTGAGGCAGGTGTTTAAGCATTATTTTGAAGAATTGGAAGAGGAATCTCTTCGGGATAACTTTGTTGTTGTGGTAAAGTGCTACTGTGCCTTTCAATGGTTTCTTTGAGTGGAGTTAATTCTTCTAGGTGAAATGCTGATTATGTGTCCTTGACAGTATGAACTACTTGATGAAATAATGGACTTTGGCTACCCCCAATACACCGAGGCTAAGATTCTTAGTGAGTTTATCAAGACGGATGCCTATAGAATGGAAGTTACACAGAGGCCTCCCATGGCCGTGACAAATGCTGTATCCTGGCGCAGTGAAGGGATAAACTACAAGAAAAATGAGGTGGCCATTAGATTATCATCTTGACTTGAACTTCATGGTCTAAGCTACTAATTAATATTGTTCCTTTTTTCTTTTTTCCAGGTTTTCTTGGATGTGGTGGAGAGTGTTAACATACTTGTCAATAGCAATGGACAAATAATTAGGTCTGATGTTGTTGGGGCATTGAGGATGAGGACATATCTGAGGTTTGCTTTATACTTTCTCTCAGAACTAGAGTTTCAACTTTCAAGCCAGACATGGGCTATTAGTTAATTGTGTTAGCAATATGGTTTACATTTATTTTCAGTCTTGTGGGGGTGGGGGGGATGGATCAGATTTTATGAAGAGTGGAAATTCAAGGAGCATTGGAGGTTTAGGAATTCCTTCAACCGGAAAAAAAAAAGAAAAAGAAAAAGAAAGCTCAATAGAGCACTCTGATTTCTCACAAAGGGACTCCCTTAAAAAACCACACGTATGAACCTACTACCAACATGTAAGCATGGAGTGCTACTTGTTTGAAAGAAGATTCAATAGTAGAAGTTTCCTGTGCCTCTTATGGTAACCTCTTCTAGCAAGTTGTTACTGCCAGTGAACCTTTTGACAAACTTCCAGCAAACTTTTCTGTCAATGTTTCACACAAGCTTCAACTCCCAGTTACTCTTTCAACAACTTCTGGCAAGCTTCTTCCTAACTTTCAACTATCTTTTCTGGCATCCTTCAAGTGCCATGGAACTTCTTCATAAGTTATTCCCCATTACATCTATTATGTGATCTCTTCTTTCAAAAATTCTTTGTTGTGTCAATCTCCAATTGCCTCCCCATTCTTAGATGTGTCAATCTGCAGCTGTGTGCACGTGTGTCTGGTGTCTCTGGTCGTATTCTTACATTTGTTATTGAGTTTTCGATTCTGTTTGGTTTCCTTTGGGCTGCATTTTTCCATTTATACTAAAGATCTGTTGCATCTTCGGTTCTTGGTGAATTTTGAGTAGTTTTCTAGTTTTGGTAATATCAACCATCTATTCATAATGATGGTAACTTTGTTGTGTTGCTTTATAGCAATGCTCATTTCTCCAATGTCTCCGGCATCCTTATGTTGTCTTTTCAGTTTTCAACTGCGTTCAGTGGATCCAATATTATTTTATCTATTTTTTAAAGGGTTTATTTGAAACAAGTTCAGAGCTTAGTAAACATTAGCCTAAGTAGTCAATCCCGAATAGTGGCAGAGCAGCTAACCTCAAAATTGCTATAGCAGGGTGGCTGCCATTGTGAAGTTTAGAAAACAATATTCATAATTTATAATTTTATATCATACACATATATAAGTACTGAAAAATAGAAAAATACACAAAATTAAAGAGTAAAGACATAGTAATAATTAATATTAAGGGAAAAGAGTAATCAACTACTGTAAACTTTACTGTTTTACCAAATAGGCATCATAAACTTTTATTTTATCATAATCAATCCTTAAATTTATCTGATTTGTAAATAGACATTATAAACTTTAATTTTGTTTCAATTAATCCTTTTACTTTACTTCTTTTACAAATAAACACTCTCAACTTTAATTTCATTCTAATTGATTTTGACATTTGATAATTTATTATTTTTACAAAGTTTTTATATTATCAATTTAAAGTTAAATTATTTATCTTAAATATCAATCATTCACTAATCTTTTTCTTTTTATGTTACAATTTTTTCTTCAAAATAAAATAAAAATACGAGTTTAGGAAAAAAAAAAGAATGACAAAAACAATAAAAGGAAGTCTTTATTTGTTTTTTTCTTCTTCTAAATTATATGGTATTTTAATGTATATGAAAATAAAACTAATATATATGTACCAAAAAAGTTAATAAGTGTGATTTAAAATAAATAAATGATTGATATATTTTTTTTATCTTAGTAATTTAATCTCAATGTAATATAAGAGACTTAACAAAAAAAAAAAAGAAGATAAAATTGCAATCAATGTGTTTATTTGTAAAAATGGTAAATCTTAAGGATAAGTTATAATAAAATTAAAGTTTATGGTGTCCATTTGCTAACAAGACAAAGTTTAAGGATTAATTGGAATAAACTTAAAGTTTGTGGTGTCTATTTGTAAAAGGGGTGAAGTTTAAGGGGGTTAAATACTTTTTTCCCTAATATTAATTATCAAAATATGAAATACTATAGAAATAAGAAATAAGATGATGTCATGGTGGAAAGAAATAACAAGTCTGAGAAATAGAACTGAGAAGTAGAAGAAAGGTTAACAAGTGAGAGGGAAATGAGAATTTAAAAACAGAGGCAAGTTGTTCTTGTTCACGTAATTTAGAAATAGGAGCAATTTGGAATACATTCTCATTCATGTTCACTATGAAACAGGGACATAATAGTACTCAGGGAAACTTAGAGTCTGTATATATGGATGTTATGCTTGACGGATCTACTGCATAAGGAAAGCAACTTCACTCAAGTTATTCCATCCTATTTCTGTCTCTTTATTCCCTCTCAACTCTACAAGCACTATACCTTGTGTTGTGACACATTTCTTATTTTGTGTTATAACAAGGTTCCCTCCAACAACAGTACAATAATGAGTATAGATCCTAGCAATGGTACTCCCGGCCCAATTTGCATCTGGGTTGGCTTTTATTTGTAAGTATCCACTTCATACAGTAATCCAGTTCCTGGTGAGCCTTTTTTATAAATCAAAATTCTATAAACAGCTGCAAAGTGATCCAGTCCTGGTGATTAGGGTAATTAGGCCAAATATCTAGTAGATCTTGTAATATTCTTTCTCTAATTATGGGAAACCTCTTGTACAGAATTTCTATATATATATATATATGTGTGATATGGATGAGAGACTCTATTTCCTAAGCAAGTTTTCACTCATTTATTTGTTCCTTGTCTGTTTGAAGTTGGAGTTTCTACTGTTTTACACCCTAATAACTCAGTTTCCTTTAGCAAGTCGAGTACATACTTTTCTGGTTTATGAATATACGTCCTTTAGATATAGCAAATTCTATGCTCAGAAAATGTCCTAGTGTACCCAAATCCTTGATTGCAAACACACCTCCTAGCTTCTTCTTAAGGGATATAAGTTAAGCTTCATAATCACATATTAATATATGAACATCCACATAGACTATTAGTGCTGCAATTTTCCCATTGGCTGTGTGTTTGAAGAAATTGGACTGGCCCCATGAATATGCATGCAGGGAGGTGATTTTTGTGGGGCCATTGCCAGGGGGAGGGTGTGATGAATCTGAATGTTCTTCTTCCTTCCTATTGGTTCTGATTCTCTTCTATCATACTTTCCTACTCTTCCTCCCCCTAGTTGATGGGCACGTTAACTATGTTAGTTCATTTCAGCTCTAGGAATGATTCTTCAAGTTGTAATTTCCATTCTAGTAATTCTATTGCTGTTCTGTTCAGCTGTTCAGTGATTTCAACGTGACTTAGTCCTTTTCTGAAGAACAGAGTTTTGTTTCAAGTAGCCTTACCGCTAGTATCCATGAATTCATTGCTCTATCTGACATGTTGGTTTATGGGTACCAGCTGACCTTGGTTTTCTGGTTTCTGGTTTCTGCAATGGGTCTTTTTTGTTGTATCTACTTGTGTATGTATGTATCCAATATTTCTGAAAACTGTTATTGTATTATGTCTAGCTAAATAGCATTTTGGAGTATGTTCTTTTTTGTTACTGATTACTCATATTTGTATTGCTTATTCATTCAATACCGTTAAAAATGTTTAGAAGCTGGTGCTATAATACATGATTAGGGAATAGTTATTGATATGTTACCCCACAAGTGCACGCTATCGTTTTTGATAATGATATCAAATTCACATGGATCACCTGTTTTGGCTTTGGAATTATAACAATTTAATTAAAATTGTTAGAATAGTGGATTAAGCCTAACTCAACCCTACAAAACCGGCTTGTAAGGTGAGGGTTGCTTTCCACTTATATACTATTCAATTGCCTAATCTCTAGTCGATGTGGGATTTGGGTTTTTCCCAATACACCCCTCACTTCCAGCACTATCAGGCTTGGTACGTGGATAAATGGTGGGTGGCCCTTTTTAATGATCTAGGATAGGCGGGACCTGGGTTTTTTCCCAATACACCCCCTCATGCCTATGGCACATGCATCAATGGTGGGTGGCCCATTTAAAGTGAATCTAAATGGCTCTGATACCATGTTAGAATAGTGGATTAAGCCTAACTCAACCCTACAAAACCGGCTTGTAAGGTGAGGGTTGCTTTCCACTTATATACTATTCAATTGCCTAATCTCTAGTCGATGTGGGATTTGGGTTTTTCCCAATAAAAATTAAGCAAAAGGAAAGGGAATTAATTTTTGAAGATTGAATTGGGAAAAACAATTGAAAATTGAGTCAAGCTGAAAATAAAAAGGCTTATATATGTTTAGTCCCTAAAATTTGCAGTAAATTTGTTATTGACCCCTCAAATTTAAATTTAATATTTTTAATCACTCAAGACAACTGGTAGCATCACTGGCCATGACAGATTGAGTCAGTTGTGTAACATCAATTGAGATTAATGTGATATTTTGATTAACAAGACACTAGTATATGAATTTTATGCGACAAATTCAATAATAAATGGGTTTTGTTTCACAAATTTACTGATGACATTTGATCAGAGGGAATAAAATGAGATTTTTTTAAAAATTTATAGGGAGTAAAATATTCAATATTAAATTTGAGAGACCAAAAATAAATTTATCTCATATTTGTGGGATTAAAAATATTTAAGCCAAAAAAATAATTAAAATAAGAAAAATCAAGATTTAGAAAGCTTTGAGGGTTCGGGTTTCCCACCAAGACTTATTATTAACCTAATTTTCTTATTTCAATGTTTTCCTTGATTCTCTTTGAAGGAGAGTTAACCTAAGGTAATCTTTATTCTCTTTCGAGACATGAAGATGTATTTAATTGAATTAATCCCAACTTTTGTGATAATTATGTTCAATTAAACTATTTATGTTCTTTGCTAATTGATTTTATCCTCTTAAGATTAATTCTACTGTCATGAATTAAAACCTATATCCTTCCCTTATAAGTCCAACATGGTTCACCTTTCAGTTCTTTTCTAAGCCTTTGTATATATAATTCAGTAAAGAAAGAATCAAGGGGAGAAATAAATGAAACATCAAACTAAATAAATTAACATCAACATGGTCAAGGGCTAGGCCTCGATCCTACAACAAAGCAATTACTCACAAGTAGCCATCAAAATGAAATAGAAATAAGAAAATGGAGAATTCAAACCTGAAGTCAAAACATATGGGAGAGCTAACTATTCATAGTGCCACTTCCTTCCCCCTTTTAGTGCCTGAGTCTAAAATACATACTGTTGTAACATATAAAACATCCAAAGGGAGACATGTCCTACAAAAGGCATAAACAAAGTAAAAACACTCGATGATTAAGTCTTAAATGTCAAAATATGCAATGTTTCATAACTAATATGCTCTATGAAGATGGTATGAAATGCTACACATCAATTATAATATATATAAATTTTACTACTTGGCACTCTACTTTTATAGTTGATACTGGTTTGGATTTAGAAAGACTGTACGATCATTTTGAAGTATCTATTAATCTTATAAAATTCTGTGATTGAGGTGTTATCTAAACTTTAATATTCCATCCGTGGCTTGATAATGCAGTGGTATGCCTGAGTGTAAACTTGGATTAAATGATAGAGTATTGTTAGAGGCACAAGGTAGAACAACCAAGGGAAAAGCAATTGACTTGGAGGACATCAAATTTCATCAGTATGTATGCTTGATTCTCTTATATTCACTGATTGATTGTTAGTGCAAATTTAAATATATACTTTATACAATCATGTTTATGTCTATTCTTGACTAGTTCTCAAATTATGTGCTGACACTTTTGACGAAGGTGTGTGCGCTTGGCTCGGTTTGAGAATGATCGAACAATTTCCTTTATCCCTCCTGATGGATCATTTGATTTAATGACATATAGGCTCAGTACACAGGTACATCTTCTCTTGATATGAAATAAATTTCTGTTTGAGTAGTGATGTAATATCTATACTAATATATAAAGGGGATACCCTTTTTGGTAACCATCTTGGTCTCCACTTTTTTGGACCATTATACCCATTTAATTTAAAAAATTATACTAATATATAAAGGGGATACCCTTTTTGGTAACCACCTTGGTCTCCACTTTTTTGGACCATTATACCCTTTTAATTTAAAAAATTAGAAAAAATATTTTTTAATCAAATTTAAAAACTTGACACTAATGAATCTATACTAATATACAAAATGGGATATCACTTTCAATAACTACTTTTGGTTTTCATTTTTATATGGATCATTTTATTTTTTGTTTATTTTTCAATAACTACTTTTTTTATGAGTAATTTTTTATTTTATATACTTATTTTTTTCTTTTAATACAATGCAGATACGAAGTGCCTTTTTCGTGCTAGTATACATAATTACACATACTGAATAAAAGCTATCCTATGCCTTTTGATTCTATGGTCTTTGTTTCCAGGTTAAGCCTTTAATTTGGGTGGAAGCACAAGTTGAAAAGCATTCAAAAAGCCGGATTGAGATTATGGTAAAGACTAGGAGTCAATTTAAGGAACGTAGGTACTGATATTTTCCCCCCTTTATATCTATTCCTTTTTCCTCTGATTTTTCCTTCATGAAAGAGGGAGAGCTGCTTACCTTAAATTTATGTACCGATCTTTGAGTTGTTTGCTCTAGATTTTAAATCACTTTAAATATATTTACTTCAACTACTAAGATTATTTAATTTCACAGTACTGCCACAAATGTCGAGATTGAGTTACCTGTGCCTGCTGATGCAACCAATCCAAGTGTTCGGACATCAATGGGAACTGCATCATATGCACCTGAAAAAGATGCATTAATCTGGAAAATAAGATCATTTCCTGGAGGCAAGGTATTAATTCACTTGGAAATGGCATTATGCTCATGAATAACAGTATTTGATGCCTGAATTTGATTGTAAATTAATGGATTTGGTCCTCTTATTGATACTTCAGGAGTACATGTTAAGGGCAGAGTTTCGTCTTCCCAGTATAATAGATGAGGAAGCAGCTCCTGAGAGAAAAGCTCCTATACGTGTAAAATTTGAGATACCATATTTTACTGTGTCTGGGATACAGGTATTGATACATCTACAGATTTTTCCTTATATTCTCAAAATTTTTATACCTATATGCATCTCTATATGATTAAAGATGAATAGTTCCAGTATTATATATTTCCTTTCCTGTAGCTCAGACAAACATGAGACTGGACACAACTAATATCCAAAATATAGGACACTGGAACAGCTCTCTCTCTGTGTGTGTGTGTGTGTGTATATATATATATATATAAAACTAAGAAAGAGTCGGAGAGAAAAACTCAAAGCAAAATGAAATATGAACATAACAAATGATCTAATTAATAATTAATATTTTTATATTCTTCCAAGTTCATATTTTTCCTATGATAGTGAGCCTCACCAAAATATAGTAAGAGGCATTATTTTAACAATAAATATTTGGTTTCTTTACAAAATATCCGATCAAATGAATATGGTTTTGGCAATATTGTTATGTTCATTCATATGGTGTCAGCTCAAGTGTTTGAGCTTACTTAAAATTACTTTTTTTAATTGAACACTGAAGGAGGAGCAACTTAAACGTATAAGGTAGGTGTTAGTGTCAGAAGCATGTCTGACATTGACACTTATAACAAGAAGTGTTCATGCTCTTCATCATATATGATATAATCCCAGACCTTTCCTATCTTTATTTGTTTGTTGGTGTCTCACTTGTCATTTTGATTGTTGTTGGAAATCTCACATCGTCTAGTGATAGAACTTAGAACTATAATAGAGTATATAAGTGAGGTGTAATTTATATTTTTTAAGCTGATTTTGTGAGGTTGAGTTAGACTATTAACTCATTTTCTTAAGATGATATCAGAGTTTACATCCTAGCGATTATTGATTATTGTTGGGCCTATAGTGTCACCCACTATTGGGTCACTATCAGACAACACACAAATGTATATAGTCCTGCAAATTTCACACTCAAGATCTTTAGTCTTCAGCTTGAGAAAAGTATGTTAAAAATCTCACATTGATTAATAAAAATGACATAATAGAATATGTAAGTAAGGTGCAATCTTCTTATAAACCAATTTTGAAAGACTAAGTTTGACTCGTAATCCACTAAATAATTATTTCTTCAGGCATGAAGCAACTATTTTAGTGAACTAGAAGGGTCTTTTGAAATTGAAATTCATGTTTTCACGATTAAATTGATATTCAGTTCACTAAGAGTGTTTATAGATAATATTGTATTGGAAAATAATTATTAGTTACTATTACTAATGGGAAGAAAGAAATTGACATCATAAAATGGACGAGAAACCAATACACATAATATTATTGTTAAGTTTATACATAAACCAATTAGTAGTAAAATGAAATGCTTACGACTGGGTAATCTGAATGAAACATCAACATCCACATGATATAATGTTGAAATTATTATGTTTACCATATATTGTGATGTTTTAGTTCGCCTAAGTGAGATTTTGATTAATTTATCTGGGTGCTAATCAACCATGTAAATGTATTGGTTTGTAGGTAAGGTATTTGAAGATTATTGAGAAAAGTGGGTATCAGGCTCTTCCATGGGTGAGATACATTACAATGGCCGGAGAGTATGAACTGAGGCTTATTTGAGATTTGTGTCTTTGTTTGGTATTCACAAAATAATTGTATCTTTCAATGATCGTGGATGGAGGAGGGAGTCTTACGTCAATTTTTGGCCCACCTCATCAGATTATAAATTACTCGTTGTCTAGAAAGTTGTCAGCTGAAAATCATGAGTTGGCAAGTGTAAGCCAGAAACTCTTGCAAGTCCCGTTGGTCAAATCTCTTTTGATTGGGGGAAATGATTGGTTCTCCCTCTTCTTTCTTAGGCTTTGTTTGTAATCACAATCTGTCCACTTTTTCCAAAGTCTTCAAATTGTAATCTGGTATACATTTTAAAGAAAATTCTAGGGTTTTGTATTACCAAGTAAATGAGTTATATTAGACCAATTATAGATAGGGAAATAATTGTCCCACAGTCATGTATGAACGATAAAATATAAATTATTATTTTTATATATATTTATTCACAAAGTTTTACAGAACTGCAGAAAAGCGCATTTGTGTTCTCTTTTTTGGGTAATATAAGGTTGCAGCGTAACATGATACTAAGCTTCATAAAATGTGATAATTGTTATCTGGATATTAATCTAAACTAATAGGCACGACCTCCTACTAGTGGACTGTACAGCATGGGAAATAAACAGGGTCACTGGGTTAGATTGCAATTAGCGTATTGACTGTGCAAATGCACTTTTGTAACGTTTGCCTTTACACATGTATTAAAATAGTAAATAAATGTAATATTAAGTTAACTGTTATGAAAATAAAGGTAATACTAGAGAGGAGAGATAAGATAATATGAGAGAGAAAAAAGGAATTTGATTGATGTCTTATTTGTGGTAGAAAGTTAGCCTATTTATATGTATATATGGTAATTGAATAATAAGGAAATAATACATAATGAGATTATAAATGGGAATAATGTATATTGATTATGAATATCTACTAATTAAGTCATCAATTATTATTATTTGTGACACTTCTTTTTGGATATTCATTATTTTCCTCTCGGACATTCATTATTTTACAATGTGTCTTGTTAAAATTTTATTAGAAAAAATTTAGTGGGATAAAAATTTGGTGAATGAAAAAGAGTACATCATTTTTTAATATTTATTTCTTCTTGTTATGCATGCAATCATTTTTTAGACGATGAAGTTCAATCTTATATATCAACTACTCAATAACTTTTCTTGGTAGTAATTTTGTAAAGAGATTTGCTAGGTTGTCACATGAGCCAACTTGTTGAATATTTGTATCACCATTCTTTTGAAAATCATGAGTAAAAAATAATTTTGGTAGAATATGTCCTATTCTATCTCCCCTTATGTATCTATTTTTTAACTACGCAATACATGTAACATTATCTTCATATATGATTGTCGATGTCATTTTTTTAGAAGATAAATCACAAGTTTCTTGTACATGTTGACTAACAAATCTTAGCCAAACACATTCATGACTTGCTTCATCTTATGCTAAAATTTTTGCATGATTAGATGAAGTGACTGCTATGGTTTGTTTTACAAATCATCATGAAATGGTTGTACCACCAATTGTAAATAAATATCCTATTTGTGATCTACCATTAAAAGGATATGACAAATAACCTATGGTTGCAAAACCATTTAATTTTGGTTTGGGAACATTTTGATAGAATAATCCCATATCCTTTGTATCTCTAAGATAATGAAGGATTTATTTAAATCTATTGCAATGTCTTCATGTAGATAAAGAACTATATCTTGTTAGCAAATTAATAGTAAATGCTATATCAAGTCATATATAATTAGTAAGATACATTAGTGTTCTTATAGCACTAAGATATGATACTTTAGAGTCAAGTATTTCTTCATCATTTTCTGAAGATCTAAATGAATCTTTGTTAACATATAAAGATATTACAATTATTAGATTGCAAAATGAATGTGATTTGTTCATATAAAATCTTTTAAAAATATTTGTCACATAAGCTTCTTGATGCATAAGAATTTTATTTTTTAAACATTTAATTTGTAATCCCAAGTAAAACTTTGTTCTCCCTAGATCTTTCATTTTAGATTCTTTCTTTAGGCAATATATGGCTTTTGAAAGCTCTTTGAGAGCTCCAATAATGTTTATGTCATCTACATAAACAACAATTATGACAAATCCATTTTCAAATCTTTTTATAAAAATACACAGACAAATTAGATCATTTTTATTATATTTTTTTAGTAAATATTTACTTAGATGATTATACCACATATGTTCTGATGGCTTTAGTCCATATAGAGATTTATTCAACTTGATTGAGTAATCTTTAGAAATTGCAACATTGGACAAATCAAATCCTTTACAAAGTTTCATATAAATGTGGGTGTGAAGAGAGTCATACAAATATATTGTAACTAAATACATTAAATGTAAATTAAGTCCTCCATGTGCAACCAAAATAATTAAGTATCGAAAAATACTTGTATCTACTACAGGTGAATATGTCTATTCAAAATTTCAAATCAATATCAGACCTTTGTAAAAATTCCTGAGCAACTAGTTTTACTTTGTATCTCATAATTTCACCATTTTAATTTTGTTTTTGCACAAAAATATATTTGTATCCAACTGATTTTACACCTTTAGGTGTATTTACTACTGGTTCGAAAACTCTTCGCTTAGCAAGTGAGTCTAATTTTACCTCAATTTCATCTTTTCATTTTAGCTAATCATTTATTTGTTGACAATTTTTGATAAGATTTGGTTCTTGATTCTCAATATCATTTATTAGATTTAGCACAATATACATCATCAACATTGACATTGTTTCAGTTCCATTATATTTCATTCATGACATAATTTATTAAGGTCTCATCATTTTCAATAATTTCAAGTACTTGAATTTCTTCTAAAACTGAAATATTAGTTATGTTAGAGGATTGTGTATTATTATTATTATTATTATTATTATTATTATTTTGCAGCAATAAAATTGAAGGTGGAAAGAGT